GTCACATTATAACGCCCCACGGCTGAAAGGGCGAGCATGTTTGGTGTGACGGGGATTCGAATCCGCGAACCTCAGATTGTGAGTCGAGCGCCTTATCCACCTGGCCAAACATTTAATGAAATTTATTCTTAGGAATAATCTCGCGATAATTCAAGAATATTTGTTTGTGTGAAAAGATGGCCGTATTTTTCTAAAAAACATTGAATATATTCTCAACATATGTTTTACTGCTCATATGAAGAGTATGTTTACATATCACTGGTCACTTTAAAATTATATGCACGAATTGTTGAATATGTCCTATCTAAGATCTGAACATCTGGTAATCTTCGATTTCAACACAACAGTTTCTTCTTGAAGACTGATTCCGAATGCTTTATAATTTCCATCGTAATCAGTCAACTCCCAACTATTCAAATATAAAAAAGGTTTCTTTACGCAAAATATTTATGAGAAAAAAAAAGCTTCCATAATTAGAATTATCTCAGTTTTTCAGTTGATAATTTAATACATTATGAAATGTTCAATTTCAAGAGTTTACGTAACAGATAAGAGCTTTAAAAATCATTTCCGGTGTTCACAAAACTTTTCAGGAAATAACTATAGCCATGAGCTAAATTACATTAATTTTGCATTAAATTAGAGTTATGATGTTCACCAGCAAGATCACCCCTTTACAACATAATAAAAGAGGTAGTGATACGTCATTTAAATTATTAATAAAAAACTCCCGGGTTAAATCTTAATTCAGAAAATTATGTTGCCTAATATTGCTGTATTTCTTATGGGGGGGGGGGCATGATGGGATTGTTAAATTACGTAAAGTATCCGTTAGGATTCAAAAGATTATATAACACGAATGAAATCGAGATGGCATGAAGAGTAAAAGATATCAGTGAGCCAGGTTGTTTATGTAAATATATTTAATGACACAATAAATGTTCTTTGGTTGTTAAAACAACGATAAACAGATTATTTTTGGTTGTAAGATCTGTTTCTTGGCTAACTAAAGTCGTAGTTAGTCTTTAAGTGTTTAGGAAACAATGCAGATGAATCATGATCGATTGACTTCAACTGATTCTATGTTGATTAAAAAAATCAAAAATTATCATATTATTAGTTGATAGCACCGAATTATTTTAATTCGAATATTTTATTTGTGGTCATGAAAAAAAATCATATAGTATACTTAGAAACCTATTGTTTATAGTTAAACATAAAGCTACACAACGGGCTATCTGTCTTCTGCCCACCACGGGTTTCGAAACCCCATTTTTGGCGTTGTGAGTCTGCAGACATACTGCTGCGCCACTGGGGGCGGGGGCTTAGAAATTTAGTTTCATTACTATCTTTAGTTTTGAGACGAATCTCACAAAATGAAGCTTCATGCAAACAACATGTGAAACATCAATATAAATAATATGCTTGTGTTTGTCTGTCCGGAACGTTTCTCTACAAATCTCATATCGTTAGAAAGGTCTTTGTCTGAGGAGTCCAGATTACATATTGGTTTTTCAATGCAGAATCACCTTACCTGTATTTTGCTTAGTCAAACTTTTGAATAGAACATGTATGGTACACGATGGCACAATGTCATTGTCATCAGGTAACGACTGGCTTCGTTTTCAACTTCAATTTTTTTGATTTGCAAAGTATTTCACACAAATAACACTTAGCCCACTTTTAATTCCCTATAAGAATAACATTATACTAAATACAATTTCTATGGGCTTTCTTGACTTAGTTAGGTTTAAAATACGCATGCGCTGTTTGTTCAAAACTATATGTTTATCACTTTGTGAACACGCATTCAGACGTTTCTGCATATTAAGGAAGAGCCCCTATCGGGATGTATTGTGACGTCATCATTGTTGACATGGAGTTCAAGCTGTATAGACATGATATTTATGGTCTTGTAACAGGAAAGGAATTCCAATTTCGTTGCAATCAAAGTCTCGCGGGCGAGAGCTAATAGGTGGATTTTGATGTAGAAAACTTCTTTTATTTTCTGGTATTTGTAGTTAGTTCCAGTTGATGATGTGGTTGATTTTGTAATTGTGTTCAGTAAAGTTATATTTTTCCGGATAAAGAAGTCTGGTGGCATCTTGATGTTTTCTGACTCATTGTTCAACAGTTCAACCTGTTTCTCCTGTGTAGGATTTTAAACAAGAACAAGGTGTTTTGTAGATACCGTCAACCCGTTTATCTTCACTTCTTTATATTTTTGTAGGAATATGTCTTAATGTCTTACCAGATTTGAAATAGATTTTAATGTTGAACTCTTGAAAAATTATTTTGAATTCGTAACTTAGTTTTAGGATACAAAGCAGGACTGTGGTTTTCTGTAGCTGAATATGTGGATTTTGAAGTCACTGATTTTATGTTCTTTTGTGTGATTGGATGAAAATGTTGAGCTAAGCATTTGATTGGAAGATTTTGTACAACTGTTCTTTCTCAGTCAGGAGTTAGTTGGTGTCACAAATCTTTGAGGCCCGGTTGAACAGGCAATTCACAATACTTCTTTTAACAGAGTTTGGATGGTTAGATTTGAAATTTAGATATCTGACGATATGAGGTTTTCTGTACACAGAAGTTGTGAGGCGATGACCTTGTCTGTGGAAAAAATGTCCAGGAACAGGAGGGAATTGTTTTCTTCGGTTTCCATAGTCACGTACATATTTTGGTCTATGGAACTGAGATATTATAGAAACTCGTGTACAGAGTCTAAACAATGTGTCGTTTATGCATGTATTAAATGTTTAATAAATGTTTGGAAAGTGGCTCGCATATAACGTTAAAGTTTGGGTAGCTTAGTTTTTAAGCAAAAAACAACAACAAACTAAGCTAGAGAACAATGTGCAGCCAATGACTTGGTGAATTGCTTTATTATCTACGTCTTAAAGGATCTCATTTCATCAACTTTTCTTCTATTAAATGCTATTTTCTCCCACTATGTTTAACTCTGTTGTTACTGCTTGGTTGATAATATTCTTCTAGCAGAACCAACTATACAGAATCACCATATCTACGACAGAGACGCAACTACATTCCCCATCTTTTGAAGTTAAGCAGAAAGCTATACAATGAGCTATCTGTGCTCTGCCCACCATGAGAATCGAAACCCGGTTTCTAGCCTTGTAAGTCCGTAGATATACCGCTGTGCCACTGAGGGGCATTCGTCATCTCTTTCAAATAAATTATTTGAAATCTGAATCCTTAGTTTTGAATCGATCATTTGAAACCTATGTCTACGAGACGTCATTTAAAGCTACAATATCTGTAGTAAAACTGGAAATGGTATTATCAATCTGAACGACACTTTATGTGCACGTGGGCTAAACAACCAGGTCAAAGATCCCTAGGGTTCATGTTTATATCTCCATAATTTTGAGCTACTGGACAAAAAAAAGACAGGCGGGTAGCATCACTTGCCACCTTAAGGGTCTTATCCGGATTTTTAAACAGAATAGTAGGACTTACTTAAGTTCTCATAAACGCCTATAGCTGAAAGTGAAGAGAGTGTTTAGAAGTATCACTTCTAGAACTCTCAACCCTTCGATCCGTAGCCCGACACATTAACCGCTAGGCCACATTCAGCCCTGTTGTAAAAATATTTTACACTAGAAACAAATTAATTATGATTTCATAAAATTAATATCTCTGAAATTCTAACATTTGATGCGAACAAATTTTCGTATTAAAAAAGTCTTGTTAAGTCTATTAACTTCCCAATAAGCCAGTAATTGAATTCCTATGAGAAATCATTCAGTTATAAAAAGATGAAAAAATAGTACATTTGTTAGACTCAAAATAATCATAAAATTCTAAAGTAAATACTCAATAAGTACTCAAGGTTAATCCATTATATGTAATAAGTAATCAAGATTAGTTCATTATATGTAATAAATACTCAAAAGTGGTCCATTATGTATTTATATTTTATCCACTAAGAGACCGTAATACTATTAATTCGTCTACAGTTAAAAGGCACGTGAATAAAAAGGATATATCTAAAATGTAATAACTCTATATCCAGAAATCTAGAGGATTAAGTATGATATGTTAAAGCGATTCTGAGTATGCAAATCAGCAAGTTGCAGTTTAACGGCATCTATCAGAACTACATTTTGACATGATTTGGTGCGTTTCGTAGGTAGTGTGATGCCATGGATAATTAATTGATTTTTGGAAGGATATGTAACACCATTTACCAACTCAAAGTATTCACACTCAGATCATAGAAATATGATCAGATTGGGAATTTAAAGTTTCTAAGAAGGGAATATCCTTTCTTCGTAATGGCATTGGAAAACAAACAAAAACAGTGGAACAACTTGGGATACAAGGAACATCCAGAAACATACCTGCAACAAGTCATAATCCAGTCATGGTAACTGTCTTGTAACAGTTGAGAGTTCAAGAACACAAAGTTCCGTGACAAAAGTCGCCCACGATCCCCAGACAATAGTGCACAATATAATCAAGAAAAATCTGCATCTGTAAAAGTAGCATAAGGCACGTATACATAAGATGCTTCCACGACATATCTGTTCAACCATCGCGTAGTTCAAACGGCTGGAGAATGAAACAGGTATTCATGTTAATCCATACAAATACATAGGTGGTCAAATTGCTGAATATAGTGTCTATGGATTACTGTGTGATTGAACCATTGAAACCGTTTTCCTTATATACGAGATGGATAATAGAAAACTTGCATGGGGAAGTCATGTGCTTTGGACATGAAACACATATGAAGATCTTTTTTTCAATAGAAACTACACAGAGGAGTTGTTTTTAAACTGCAGGGACCTCCGATAGAGCATGATAAGACGTGGCGACATACACTGTAACGCTGTGGTGAGGCTCCAAAATCGTTTTAATATAACGTACTCGACCTCTGTATAATATATAGTCCTTTATTATGTAGTCATATCAAAATAAAAATCCTAGTGTTGAAATATATAAGCTAAACACTTTCTTGAGTTTCAGCTAAAATGCAGTTTTCCAAAAGAAAGTAAAGTCTTTCTTATTATCAAGCATTTTAAGATTTTTTTGATAAAAGTGTTATTACTGAAAAATAAAGTTAGGTTAAATTGTTAGTAAATGATGAGTTCTTTCTATTATTAGAACATAGATGGACCTTCGATAAAACATATAACATAACATAACGTTTTAGGACAACATGGGACCTATTGGTCCATCTCGGCTGCTCCATTCTCTAAACTCAACTAAAACTATTCAAAACTAAATTTAAAAAAATAAAAAAATCGTACAGCAGCCCTTATCATTCATATACTTATCAAGCTTTCTCTTAAACTCACTTAAATTTACAACACCCGACGGCAACCCATTCCAAAGGTCAATTATATTTTAATTTCTAAATAAAGCCTTCTACTAAACGTATTTATTTAATATTACCAGACACTATTTAAAAAGAATATCTGATGAGTATGAAACCACGAATCTTATATTTTTGGACTTTATCACTATTGCCAATCAGCAAACTCAAGCTCAAGGTTGCATACACATTTAATAAAATTCAAACTAAGGAATAACAGTTATGTTTAAAAAACATTAGATATTTTTATTTTGGTTGAATACATTTCTTTTGTATGTATTTTAATTTAAAGATTGATAATATCTGTTTCGTTTTGTTTCCTTAGAAAATGCAAAGTCATTAGAGTCGACAAATGTGAAATTATTACCAGTAATAGAAACAGAATACTTAACTTTGAAGCCAGTGAAAAGATTCGAGAATTTTTCTCCGATCTTTCTTACTAATTTGCTGAAAGCTTTAGTAGAAGCCAGCAAAAGAAATCACAAGATTGTACACTTTGGAAGGCGGGCAACAACAGAAGAGTCGAATGATCAAGGTCACCAGCTGCTTCACTTTGGAAAACGGGATGGGTCAAAGCAATCTACAAAAGTTATGACAGATATTGCAAACAATAATGGCCGAGTCTCTGCTGATACCGAATATTCTGGAATCGCATTCTATAAGCCTAGAATCCTTTTCCGATTTCTACTCAGCCAAATCGAAAATTGGTCCGATCAACGATTTTCACCGGAAAGTCTGAAACGAAACAAGGGACATAATATCATGTCCTTTGGTAAAAGATCAGGTCAAAGCAACAATTCTCCTCCATCTGTATCAGAGTCTAAAGATCTAGATCATATTATAAGCAGTAATAAACCAGAAAATGTTATGGAGTCTTTCAGGAAACGCCCAACTGGTCACAACAATATATCTTTCGGAAAACGATTTCTTAAAAATGAAGATATGAGAGATTACGACAAACGGGAAGGTCACAAAATATTATCTTTTGGGAAAAAATCTGACGACGAAGAAAAACGGGAAGGGCACAAAATATTATCTTTTGGGAAAAAATCTGACGATGAAAAAAACGGGAAGGGCACAAAATATTATCTTTTGGGAAAAGATTTGACGATGAAGAAAAATGGAAAGGACACAGAAGTTTGTATTTTAGTAAGAAATCGGAGGAAAATCAAGGTAATGAACATAATATGCCACATTTTGTGAAAAAATCGAAAGAAGAAAATAACGCTAGAGGACATAAGATACTCTCTTTTGGTAAGAAATCAAAAGTACAGAAAGACGATGATGGTCACAAAATGATTTACTTCGGTAAAAAGTTATCTGTAGAAGACCCAACTCATGGACATCAAATGATATTCTTTGGAAAGCGACTTCCAAGTGATATCTTCCTTCATCCAGGGAATGTCGAGTCTGTAAAAGAGTTAACACCCACTGTGAACCAGACTAAGGATGAAAATAACGCACATTCAATGGTTCATTTTGGAAAACGTTCAGTACATTCTGGCAATTTTCGTGTCTTTCCAGAAAACAGTTACACCTTCGCAGGTAATCAGGAGGAAGATGAGAATTCATTTTTTTTGCAACCCATGGAGTCATCTCCAGAGGATGATATAAATGAAACTGAGCCTAAATTTTTTCAGGCTGAAAAGGCAGAAACGAAACACCGAAAGAAAAGGAACGTTGACTCTATCGAAAACTCAAACCTTATTGCGTTCAAACATCTATCCCCTCTATCGCCACATCAGGAGCTGATTTTATCAACAACTGACCAATTACCTGCTGTGGAAGAGGATTCAAGTAGCTCAACTCTACGATATTTTCCATTCTTTGCTTCCCAAATTCTGGTTCTGGATAAAGAGGTGGAAAACGGATTTCAAGAAAAATGGCCAAATTTGTGGGCAGGTCTGACACCTTACTATTACAGACAGGATCGAGATAATCCAAACCCTACTCAGCGAAAAACCAACAAAAACGTGTTCCTTCATTTTGGTTAAAAAAATAATTTTGTTTCAGATATAAAGGTGTTTCTAAGTGACGTCATAAGGTGTACCTGGAAAAGTATTATTCTTACTGCTGATCATAACCCAAGAAATACCTACTGGGACTTCGAACTTCAATCTACTTATATTGTGAGTTGTTCGTTTTCGCGTATTTTATTTATTTGTAATTTATTACAAACTAAAAGACTTAAAACTGTGTATAGTGGAACCCAATAGTAAATATAAGTTCAGAGCACTATCAAAATCTAAATGTTTCTCAGAATTCAAATAGTGGGTTCTGGCTTGTTGTGGGTATCCGTGTAAAATAAAAATGAAAGTTAAATCAAGATTTGAAATATAGATTGTTTTTTGTTTTTCATGTTGCATTTCTTTAGCTTTACAGAAATTGCGCTCGAATATTCCTTTCTTTAAATAACCAAAAATAAACACTAAAACCAAACTATAGTTAGTAAACACTAGTTTAATAATGCTTGGAGACGGCTTGAATGAGTAATGAAGAAAAACTTTAATACAAGTTTAACATAACAGCAAATGTACAACGTTTCGACTAGGTTATGTCATCATCATCAGGTACAAGTAGTTTACACTGACACAGATATATATATATATATATACAGTATGAAACAAGGTGGTCACATGACTGGATACTGTTGCACGACTTAGAAGACTTGTAAATGACATGGTATTGTGTGATTCTAAATAATTTTTGCTTAGTAACGATTTTGATTCTCTCAAAAACCCGGCACTAAATTAAAATCGTTACTAAACGCAAATTATTTAGAATCACACAATACAAACGTCATTTACAAAATAACATGCAATAACTGCTCAGAATTCTACATCAGAGAAACAGGAAGAAAATTGGAAACCGGATTCACAAAACACAATAAAAAACCGTCCCATGTTTTCCACCATTGCAACTCTAAAAACCATAGTATATCTATTAAAAACACAGTAATTTTAGACAAAGAACTAAACATAAACAAACGAAAACTCAAGGAATCCATCTTAAAGAACCCTACTCTATACCAACACCCTGGGGTGCCAAGATATTTCTTTTAAGTCGTGCAACAGTATCCGGTAATGTGACCTCTTTGTTCCATACTGTATATATATATCTGTATCAGTGTAAACTACTTGTACCTGATGATGACAAAACCTTGTCAAAATGAAACGTTGTACATTTGCTGTTATGTTTGTTTGTAATTGTAAAAAGCTACACAATGTGCTATCTGTGCTCTGCCCACCACGGGTATCGAAAATCGGATTCTAGCGTTGTATTGCTGTTATGTTAACCTTATATTAAAGTTTTTCTTCATTACCCATTCAAGCCTACTTCAAGCGTTATTAGTCTCAAAGTGGGTTCCTCGTCATCGAATTTGAAACACTAGTTTGTTTCAGAGTTACAAGCATTTTCCTAAGGAAAATAATTATGTAAAATACTTTAAATATTTCTAAACTCTAATAATGTAATTATATTTAAGAGTGTGTTTACATTTAAAGAGCCAATATAAAATTAAAATACGGCTAATAAATACGTTTTACACGAAAATACGGCCTTATTAACATATCTTTAGATGGACTAAAGTGTATAATTTGGACAATGTGAAAGTTCGCTTTGGAATAAATGGTTTAAACACAGCTAGATGATTAGTATGGTAACGTTAGCATTGAATATCCATCGCAGGAACAAAAAAATAATAATAACTGTTTGTTTCTTTCTAGTTAAGCACAAAGCTATACAAAGAGCTATCTGTACTCTGCCCACCACGGGTATCGAAAACCGGTTTCTAGTGGTATAAGTCCGCAGACGTGGTCGTGGATAAAGTGAAAATTTACCCGAGATCCAAACATTAACGACCACATAGGGTCAGCTTTGAATAATGTATATCTTTTCCAAATATGTGTACAATTAAATAGTACGTTACATTTCAAATTTTAACCGAGGTCCAAATATCAGTGACCTCATAGCATACCGTCAGATTTTTTGTTATTTTTTTAACCCCCAAGTAATGGTAATGGAAAACAGTGGGCAAGATATAAGATCCCCGCAGGTAAATCTACTTTAAACTATTTAGAAGAACATATCTCTCTAGATACATTCATATACTTATGAATTGTCTCGAGATTAGCAAGAGTTCGTAGATATTAAATCAGTGCAACTGGAGATTTCAGCAACTTTTGCAACACTTTATACACGAAGCTAATGTAAAGCACATAACATTTATAGTCATCATTGAACTATTCCTTAAAACAATTTTAGGTAATTAAGTTGGCAACCCTTTTTTGAATCTCTACAAGGCTTCACAAAGGTTTTCTTTTTTATTGGAATTTTTAAATGGACAAAAATAGCTGTAATTTTGTTGAAACTTTCTTAATAGTTCACAAACTGTTTTACTCCACAGGGAAAAAATTAATCTTTTGATTTATGATTAGAGTCTGAAATGAAGGTTGGTTTGTTTAGAATTTCGCGCAAAGCTACACGAAGACTATCTGTTCTAGTCGTCCATAATGTAGCAGGGAAGGCAGCTAGTCATCACCGCCTACTCTTTTACCAACTAATAGTGGGATTGACCGTGACATTATAACGCCCCCATGGCTGAAAGTACGAGCGTGTTTGGTTGGACGGGAATTCGAACCATCCGGCCATGCCGGACCCTGAAATGAAGGAGTATTTGGGAAATAAAAATGGCTTTTTGATAACAGAAGTTTAGGTTAGCATACTACCTTTTCAACTAAAAATCTATAAATAACAAAACAAACAGGAATTCCGTAGGTATGAGTCATACAATCAAGTCCATTTTCTATATGAAGTCCAAACCCTACTTTTTTATTTATGTTTTGCTATAACAAATATAGTACATACACTATCTATAAATTCAATAGAAATTGCAGCGTTATTTATAAGATAAAAAAACACAAAAAACTTTGTATACTATGATTAAATATATTGCCAGTATTACCAATAAATATATAATCAATACATCTATAAAAACAAAGGAAGCTTTAACAATTTTATTTGAGTAAGTGGAACATAAAACTGTTTAAGATCTTCCAAGTATAAGGATGCTAAAAAATATTTACGTTTAACCTCGTATATATATATTCGATGACGAGGAACCCACTTCGAGACGGCTTGAATGGGTAATGAAGAAAAACTTTAATATAAGTTTTTAGTTTAAATCGTGTCTGCAAAGTTAAATAAACAGTTTTCTCCTAGCTTTCAAGTAACTGAAAACCCAGATATTTATGTTTTAGTTGGAGCAAAGAAATCCTGTTTCACAAAAAGAATTTAGTACTCATTTAGGTTCTTTGTTCTCTACTGTTTCCAGTTTTTATCTCCAGATTTTTACACTTATGTTTTAGTTTTGAAATATAAAAGTGAATCCAGATCACAAAGTACAGGAAGCACACTCCTCGTTTGAACTTTCATCATTCCAGTCACTATTCTAAGATAACACGCTCAAAGTGTTTACACAAAAGCAAGCATGTGTCACTTATTATTTAAAGAAGGCACTATCCTTAAAATTTAGAAGATATGCTTTACCGAAGAAATATAAAATGACGTGTGTATGTGTGTTGACAGCATGCACTACAGGACAGAGAAAAATGAGAACCTCGTTTTGGTGATAAAATTGAAAATATCATGGACACAAGAGACGAAAATAATGTCTAAACTAAGCTTGAAGGTGTATTAAGTCACCGAAACCCTAAAGAAAAAACAAACTTGATAGATATTTGAATCACGACGATGAGAAAAGACGAAGACATTTGAGCAGCCTGACAATAATAAGTTACGACTTAGTAAGGAATATTTAATTACGTTTATGAAGAATTTATGTGTTTTGTTCTCGAACTTGTTTTATTAACTGATCTCTAATAAAATAAATCAACTAAAAGAAATGACAAAATAGTTTGTTTTATTTTTTGCTATATTTCACTGAACTGTCCTTCCAGATCTTATTTCTCGTTAATTTGGTAAAAAACATTTTCATCAAAACCTGGCGAAAACTTGCTCGACTCATTGATGTCCATATTTATAATCTTTATCCAGCGCAATTGTTTACGTCGCAGGTGTGCTTATTCTGTAAATATGTTTCACTTTACACCGTCGAAAGCGAATGATCTTAGACTGTTTTAATAGAGCTTATTATCAAAAGTCTTTTCATTACTCCTCGTAGAAATGCAGAGGCTTTAACAAATAAAACAATTTTTAATCATAAGTTACGGCTTTTACACTAAGTAAGTTTGTTTGTTTGTTTGAATTTCGCGCAAAGCTACACAAGGGCTA